TTTTTTTTTTTTCACCGGCATTCCGAAGGTTATTTTTGCCATCGGGGCATCGTCTTCGCGATGCATTTTTTTGTCATCCAATTGCCTTTAACGGCAGATGGTATCTTAGTTGGGCCCTTTCCCCGTGTTGCCAAGAATATCTCTCGCTCTTCGATGTGAGGGCAGTAATTTCTGCACATGGCGATTATCACTGATAGATTTTAATGCAACAATTGTGGTGTCTGTTTTTTTTTTTTTTTCCATTAGTGTGGAATGTTGGTATAGGAGGTATTCACTGGACGCCATATTTGAGGGCAATGTTTAGAGCGCATGCTCACAACAAGCTCACATTAATAGCCTGCTAAGACCGGCAACCTTGATGGTGCTAAATGCACGCTCCAAAAGGACAGCGGAGGCTCGCCGTCAGCGCGCGCCCAGCAGCAGCGCACGTGGATATGGCCGCCAGTGAATACTCCCTATACACGCACGCTACTCCCTGAAGTCACGTCTTTGCGGTGGCACTGCTGTCGTCACCGCTCATCCGCAGAAGTTTCGCCTCACGTGAAACTTTTAGAGGCGTAAAGTCTGCATTGAATATTTAGGACCACATTGACAAAATATAAATTTCGGCTTTTCTTGACTAAATATTGCAATGCTCCCGAGGTTCGTAATTACGTCTGTCAAGTTCACTGTCCTTTGAGGATGGGTCTGGATTGATTTCACTGTGGGAAATGTTTCCCATAATTTTATTGTATGGAGAATTTTCAGATTCTATCAGCACCAGTGGCGAGATTCATTCGTTGCAGTTACAGTTTCACGCGTACATGAAGCATGGAGTGTTCGAAAGGTTGATACGGGTTGCATAGTGGCGACCGTATTCGATTGATTGGCCAGCTTTAGCTGCTGTTGTACTTCATTCAACAGCTCTCTTCTTTTCGGTGTAAATGCACGGCCGCTCGTACGAAAGGCAATTGCGTAGTGTGGTGCATGAAAAAATGACGTTTTATAAACAGACAGTTCTAGACAGGAAAATAATAAACAATGAAAGCCGTTTACAATTCCCTGTGACACCCGATTAGAGCGCAGCTCTTGAGGAGGATGGAAGCGTACTGAGGGATAGGTGACTCCTTGAGGTGACGTGACCTCAGGGGGGGGGGGGGGGGGGGGGTCATGTGACGTCGGGAGGGTCCCGTGACCTCGGGGGGTCGCGTGACATCAGGGGGTTACGTGACCTCGGTTGGGTCACGTGACCACGTGGACTCAGGGGGGTCACGTGACCTCGGGGGGGGGGGGGGGGGGGGGCTCACGTGACTTTTCGCGGTTACGTTGACGCCGACGGTGACGCCGCTCAAGTTGGAAACGGGCCCCTAAGAGCTGCGCTGTGAAAACCACACACACACACACAAGTTTTAATATCGAAAGCCTTGAAAACAGCAGGTTATGCAATAGAAATGTATAAAATAAATGCGATATAGATAGCCACTGAATTCGAAGGTTCTTGCTTATTTCTAGAGAGAAGTGCACGCAAGGTAGGGCCAGTAGAAATATGCCTGATTTGCCCATGCCTGTTTCGTCGCTATTTTAATTGGTGCAACTTTAATGGGTGCCACTAATGGGTGCCACTAATGCCACTTCGACAGATAAAAATATTTATTAATTTATCTTTTTTTTTTGTTATCAAACAGTTTTTAGGGTCGTCACTTTTTCATTTAGCAATTGCGGACCATTCAAGCGGATGTTGGGCAGGATATGGAACTATAAGGGGCGCTTTATCGAGCTTGTTGTTAGGATGCCTACATGTCTGTCTGTCTGAGGGTGAATACATTCATTGTTGCCCTGAATATGCCAGTGAGTGACGCTTCCACGCACTCGGTGCGTGACTTGGGCGGTAAAATGGTGTCTATGCATTAGCCAAATCTACGCGCTCGAGCTGAGTGACACCGGATTGCGCGCACTTCAAAATGCATAAAAAGCTATTGGGCGGAAATATGCCTGAGATGTCACCACTCGAGCAAAAGCGCGCGTGTGTATGAAGGCACTCCACTTGTTGTCCCCACAGCCCGGTGTTTACTAACACGGCACAACAAAGAAATTGATCTTCGCCTAGCACGGTCTGGGCACGAGCGCTTCCTTCTGACCAGTGTGTAGGTAGCACTAGGAGCGGCCTTCAAATCGTCATCGTCGATTCTGCGGGTCGGAAACAAACTATAAAATACGGTTTATTGTCCCCACAGCTGAAGTGTACCGCTAGAGGAGCGACTGTTTGATCTCCTCCCCATAGTGCTGTTGATCAAGTGCTTACATAAAGATGAACAAAACAACTACGATACATCATTTTAGGTTGAATGGACACACCGCACAATCACCTGTACCAATTTTTTTTTAAGAAACAGGATAACTTTTAATTATACGTGTATACACCCCCAAAAAAACTGAACCTTTCTTTCTAAAAAAAAAAAATAAATAACGCCGACTTTTTTTTTTTTTTTTTTAATGAAAACCCTAAACGCTGAGGTTAATTCTATAGTTTGTTTGAATTGTCCTACTGAAAATTGTAACGAATAAAAACATAAACTTTAATAATAACACTGAAAAGGAACGTTTAATGCGGCGAACTTGTCCCGAGAAACACGTACTTTGACGGCGACGTAAGGACGACTGACTCAGGCAGCCACGCGAAGCTCCTTTTGCTAGCCCTTGAGTATCTAAAAGATTTCGAGTTCGAACAAAGAACAATACTTCTGAGTCATCTGGAACATCCCAGTCATGCAAACACAAGATATATAAAAAGGACAAGCGCTGGCTTGGATCGAACTCCAGCCAGCGGCGTGGGACTCGAATACGATGCTGACTCAGCTATTATTGCACGCAGTTTTACTCCCCTCTTGTCAAAAACGCATTGTCCCGATGCAACACAAAATGAAATTGACAACTCAAATCAAGAGAAGGGCAAACTACAGAGTCACCTGAAGCGCAGATTTTCGCGGCCGTATCGAGGATAGTTCAGTTCGAGTCGGACGACGTGAATCGTACTGTCGGGTCGCAGAGGGTGGCGTGACAATGTTCATGTTCCGCCGGGCAGCGGCTGGCAGCTCAGGCAGCGAATAACGTTGAGGCTGAAGCACCTTTTTAACAGTTCCTCGCTGCTACGTTGAATTGGTGTTCGGATCCACACCTGGTAGCCGGGCTGGAACTGGGCGTCGTGGCGACAAAGATAGTACCGGTTATCGTCAGCAAGTTGTGCGGTTTGAATCAAAATGCTGCCGAACTGGCGAACTTCCTCCTATCGTTGAGTGACGAGCAGAGCGTCGTCGTCTGTTCGTTTTTGTGGTCGACATCCCACTCGTCGTCGGTATCGTCATCGGGTTTGTCGGCAAGGTTGCAGTCGGAATTGTCGTTGAAGTCATCGTCCGGGTCGTCTTTGGGTCGCCGTCAAAGTCGTTGTCAGGGTTGCCGTCAGAGTCATAGTCGGGATCGTCGTCGATGTCGTCGTTCGAGTCGTCGCCTGTGGCGTCGTCAGTGTCGTCGTCAGTCTCAACGTCAGTGCCGAAGACATGGTTTGTCGTCGAGGCCGTAGTAGGGTTCGCTCGACGTCGCAGCCAGGGTTTGTCGAGTCCACAGTCTGGGTCGCTTTCAAGTCCATAGTTGAGGTCGTCGTTGATGTCACATTTGGAGTTATCCTCGGATGTTTTCGGGGACGTCGCCTTCACGGTCGTCGTTTTCGGAGTTATCTTGTTCAGAGCTGGAACGCATCGTGGGCATAAATTGCGTTACCCCGCACAGGAAATGACAGTAATTAAAACAAACTTGGTTAGTGAAACTTTAATTAATGTTGAATGCGGCGAACTTGTGCCGAAAAACATAAAGTAACAAAGACAGTATACATACTTTGACGGCGACTGAAGGACGACTGACTCAAGCAGCCTTGCGGAGCTCCTTCGGTAAGGACGTGGGTATCTAGGAGTTTATTAGCTCGAGCAAGCAACAAAATTCTCGACACCTCTGGAACATTCCAGTCATTCAAACTAGAGAGATACAAAGGACAATCGCTGGCGGGGATCAAACCCCAGCCAGTGGCGTGGAAGTCGAGCACAATGCTCACTCAGCTATTCGCACGCGGCAAAATGTCGCAATTTTATTTATTGTTTATTAAGGATAGTGCTATATTTCTTGCGCAAGGTGGTTACATTTTATTTTCGCCCCAATTGTTTTAGGCGGTAGCGTCTCATTCTGGAAGTTCTATATGTCTTTAACAAAACAGAACCGAGAACGCGCGAGACAACAGAGCTGCTTAATGAACGACAATTACACATGCTAAAGAAAAAAAAACAAATATGAAGCTCCCGAGGGGACTTTGCTCGTCGGCGGTATATCGAAGGCCTTGATTACAGTGGACCGTTTGGGCGAAGCCCCGTGGTGTTCGCACTCACTTTCATAACCCAGCCGCTTCTCGTTTCAATCTGGGCGGAGCCTCCCTTGCGATGCGTGCCCCCAAAACATAGGAACGCCAAACAACAATTCAAGGTTGCCTCTCTGACGTCATTAACTGATTCGAAAGAGCAAAAAAAGGAAAAGAAAAAAGAATGCACAAAAATGGAGAAAAAAAATGGCTCTCTCTCTCAGTTCTCCCGCATTACTTCTCGAGGCAGGGAGACCAAAAATACCCATTGGTTGGCTGGGCCATCTCAAGGCGCGATAACCCTTCAAAGAAAGTGAAAGGTCGACCGCTTTGCTTGCGCATGTAACCGGTTTGCCGTCTGAGATGCTCGGAAAGATGCTTGCCGTCTGAGATGCTCGGAAAGATGTTACCTACGTTGCTTGTCGTTTCATGACGTGTTTATGTAAAAAAAAAAAACGTTACAAATTAGGTTTGCATCAACAAGGTCGCATTACTCCACTTAGTGCTTGCTGGTCGGTTTGACTGCGAGAAGTTCACTCAGGATTCGACACTCGTGCGGATTGGGCGCATCGTACGACGAGCGTAGCCGACTATTCCTGACTCGAAAGTGCGGGCATATAAAATGAGAGGCAACTGCCTACCACCGGAGCTTCAGCTGATCGCAGAAACCGAACTTCGAGAGACGGAGGATGGGAAAATTGAGTCGTTGGACAAGCTTAATCAGCTGTTGGATGGTAAGTGTCCCTAAGCTCTTTTGCGGTTCGTGGTTCTTCTTTTGACTCCGTACATTGAACAGACTGTAATATACGGTGCGTAATGGCGACTTCAATCACCTCATTTTAAATGCGCTTTCACGGATTTGTGTTGTGCTCTATTTATTTGCAATTTTATGTTCGGGTGAAAGGGAAAAAAGCGCATGTCCAGTACCCCTGTACGACATATGATCCAGGTCCCAAAGCCATACACGTTTAAAAGCGGTGCAGCTCTTGCATGGGAAACGCAGTATATACTAAAATAAAACATTAAAAAAACCCAACAAAGTTAAACATTTTTAATACAATGAAATGAAATGACTGTCTGCATTTCTGCACAGTATTTCATATTTGCTCAAAGATATCGTCCCTTATTCTTTCTTTAAATGTATATGCAGATCTTGATTTTATTGCTATATCGAAAATGTGTGGATGCATGTTTAAAAGTTGTGTTAAATGCTGCTTCAATGCTTGTTCACCTTAATTAGCATCTATTTGTGAATGCTGAATTCGGTTAATGGTATTTATTAAAGTCACAAATAGTCGGGCGACTCCTTCTTTAAAGTTTAGTGCTTTGACCTCTAAAAGCGATTGGTTTAAAGATCATTAAATTTGTAATTATTTATTAATATTTTAATATGTTTTAAACCCTAATGGATCAAAGGAAATTAGATAAGGAATATTGCTGTAGATCCGCCAATCAAGAAATCGCACACAAAACAACAAAATCATACAATACCAAACAATAGCTTACAGTTTATTTTATTTTCTATTGGCCGGTTCGTGACCAACGGTGTTACCACTGCCTAATACGAGTGTAATTTTTAGTTCAAGAAAAAATATTAATTCGTGTGTTTTACATAAAAACAACCTAAATAAAAACAAGTTTTCGGATAATGCAGCACAGAGTAATGATTTGACCATTGAAGATATATATATATATATATATATATATATATATATATATATATATATATATATATATATATATATATATATATAAAACCATCGTCAAAATAACATATTATATTAACAAGGCTACCAACGTTACTAAAACACTCAGTTGGGAAACTCGCCGTCGAAACCTGGGCCGCTGGCGTCCACCGAGACCGAGCTAAATGCGACAACAGCGCCACTCTTTATCATTTGTCTGTATTGTGGTAACCTTAAGGTTCTTGAAAGCCTGTTTTTGCGTAAAAACAAACGGAAAATACTCTTTTTGTATGAAATTTATTGGAGTTTAGTACAAAAAGAGGGGCGCGTTATGATTTTAAAATCTTTAGTTTGCAGGGTTTTGCGGCACAATTAATAATGTTTTTATAGAACCATGCCTCAGCGGTCCTTTCAGGTAGCGCGTCCCGACCTAGGTGCATTTTAACTTCAATAGTTCGACGCGGCGCGTCCGCCGGGGAGACGGGAGTGGCACCCCTGTAACCTCTTCCGCTGTATCTGTTCTTAAAGCCAAAATAGAAGTTACGTGCAGTTCCTCGAGTGGCCGCTGCGAAAGAAATGGTGGCGTTGTGTTCGTCATTAACTCGGTGCTCGGAGACAGATTGGGGCCACTTTTTGAAAGCTTTCTCTATGAGAGTTTCCCAACTGAGTGTTTTAGCAACGTTGAAGGCTACCAAGCCCTTCTTTCGCAAGAAAGAAGTGCTTGTCAGGCTTAGTAGCCTCTGAAACTTCTTTCGGACCCTCTCCGAAAAAAAAAAAGAAACATGATTTCGTCAGGTTACACATTTATTCCTTAAATGTTTTATTAAACTTCCTTATCCTAATCCTCGCACTCTTGTCATACAAAAAAAAAAAAAAAAAAAAGAGATGCGGTGCATTTAACAATCCATCTTAGTTCGGTTTTATACTCCGTTTCACCTTACGTCTGGGCGCAGCGGATGCTACGAGCCATCGGAGCCAATCCAGGGCCGTGTGAGTGTCACGTGACCTTGGAGAGGGGACACAGCCAAGCGCGGAAAGCGTATCACGGGCTAATAGAGCGCGATTGGCAAGGATAGCTCGTAGCGTCCGCTGCATCCGGACGTAAGGTGAAACGGCTTATAGTTAAAAGCTAGCAGATCACGCAACATAAAAAAAAAAACAGTGTTTGCATGAATTGGAAAAGTTAGGCTTATACTGACCTTTATCCCATCTTCGATCAATTTAGTTTTAGGAGTAAAATGTTGGTTACTCTTTGAGATACTTTAATTCTTCACGGGCCAGACCTGGGAAGCATGAGGAAAGGCCACTCTTTTTACGCAGTTAAAGGTGATGAGCTCCATTTTTGATAAATTGTGACACGTTAGGTTCATTCTTGAAACAGACTTTGTTATTTGATTCTTAAGTGGCTTCTCTACTTAACCCCCGACCTTCACCGCTCTAGTTTACATCCCCGGGCCATGAAAACTGACACAAAGAAACACCAGGGAAAATCGAGAAATCGTAACCTCCCCAATTCATGGCATAGATAAGGCTGTTAGCTGGGCTTTCACTGGCATCTTCCGCCTTTGTTTAATCCGAACATGTGCCTCGGCTAGCGGTAGTCAGTGTGCGTGGTGGGCTCTGAACCTTCTTAGAGCTCGGCGTTTTCCTCTCGCAATCATTGGCCACAAACGCGCGCTCAATATTCGCCTTCAGATTGGTAATTTACCGGGTGGTGATTACACATGTTCTTATCTTATTCCTGAGTTGGATTGGGTCGATGTCGTTCTGTAAGAGAATCTGTATTCACTGACAACTTAAGAACGCGAAGAGCAAGTCGTCTGTTTCTTGCGCAACGGTTGCTGTGACATCAGAACGACGCCGATTTCTGATTGGCTTCGATTGGAAGGATAGTCGGTAGACCTCAATGCTGGATACCTTGAGGTCTACCCACTATTTTGTTAAATCAGTCAATAAGAACTCGGCGTTCTGATATCATCGCAACCCGTTTGCAAGAAGCAGACGAACTTGCGCTCCGTATAGAAAACGCAGAGCGTGGAGATTTTAGAGCATTTTATTACCGCCTCGCTGCCAATGAAATCGCGGCAATAGCTGAGAAGATCGGCGAAGAAAGAGACCACGACGCGTCAATACAAAACCTCATATCCTGCATTTCTTAAGCTGAGAGTAACTATAGGGAAGAGTGTCGCAGTGCAGATGCATAAGTACAATACGTATTTCTGGCACACTCTAATGAGGCAGGGCGGAAAAAAAAAGTTATTACTTTATATCGAGTTTGATATAGCGAGAGGAACAGCGCCTTGTTTTTCCGAGACGAATATACCCGAGCTGTGCCAGACGAAAAAGCAATTTTGAGCTGGATTCCGGCATCGACTCCCGAGACAGAAATGATAACGTATAACTTGAGATGTTTAAAAACATACAAATTATCTCCAGCGATTAAGTCCACAAACTCGCCTGGGTATATAACTACCGAAACCTTTAGGTGGTATACCTTGTTGAACTCAATATTCTTGAAGAAATTTTCACACAATGGTGATTTAAAAAGAAAAAAAGAAAACACGTTTGGATTTTCGCACACGCATCATAGTCATTGGACTTTTCTCAGCGCCGATGATAGTGATGCATTTATACGTAGTGGACCATGTGCGTTTCTTTTTAAGATCACTACCGGTTTTGAATCGGAACGAATCACAATTTTGGACACTGTCGTTAAAAATGGCTAATTTAATGTTGGGAGCACCACCAGTTGAAAAATATATGCCATTCCGGATTGGCGGGCTCGTTGGCATGGTACGACCCTCTGGACAATGATATTCATTTGCTTGGCAAGTAATAGGTTTCTACACAATTGAGCGCACACACGACTGAAACGAAGTTTCACTTTCCGTGGTCATTTTTATCCCAGCGCGCTCACTTCCTCAAGGTGGTAATGCGAAGAGGTGCTTGGCTTCCTATACACGTGGTCTGCTGTGGGCATGTGATTCTCATGAGAAGGAACGCCCCCCAAGCTATCAGAAGGGCGGCCCTTCTTGGGTGCCTGATTAGGGGCTCTTGTGCAGTCTTGGGTAGTAACGCGTTACTAGTAACGCGTTACTGTAACTTCGTTACTTTTTCGGTAACTTGTAACTGTAACGAGTTACTTTTTAAGAATGTAACTTGTAACTGTAGTTCTATTACTTTTTTCTGAGGTAACGATGAAAGTAATGAAGTTACTTTTATCGTTACTTTTCAGTTCTTTGTGAATAATATATCATTAAACGAGTATAATCTTGCTATTCCTCGCACTTTCCAAAGTGTCTGTTCCGTCATTTTGAGTGTCAGTTGGCCTTGCACAAACTTGAGAATACGTTCTTTCTCGCGAGTCACTATCCGAATATAGCCACGTGTAGATTTGATGAAGAAAAAAAAAGAAGAATGTAGTTATCTTTACGCACTTGCTTGTACTTTGGGACTGAACACTTACATCTTAGTATATTGAAGCACTACCTCTGTTGCGGTTTTTTCTTTTCGGCGCACGCATTTTAATCGGGTGAATCAACCGTGAAACAACAATACACGCGGAGGGAACTTCGTATGTTTCGTATTTTGATTAGCGCCACTACTCCGCACTGCCCATGTTTCGTATTTTGATTTGCGCCACTACTCCGGCGTGGTTTCAAGGGTGGATGCAAAACTTACTGTTGTTTGCGCAGGGCTTGTTTCTGGTTTGCCGGGTACAAACTGAAATATATCAAAGGAGTCCACGAACACAGCGCAACCGTCAACGAGCCAGCAATGTGCTAGTGCTACAAGGATAGGGATATTGATGAGAACAGAACAAAGAACAAGCATGGCCGGCGTACAGAGTATTTTTCTGTGCTGAAGTTGGTTGCTAAATATTTGACCGCAGTATGCAAACTTTGCAACAAGGAGTACTCCGACAACAAGTCTTCGTGTTCAAATCTGAGAAAACACATCCAGTTAAATTTTTGTCTTTATTCTTTTCATAATATTGACTAATTTTCCAGCTAAATTAATAAGTTTGAATTTTCCGCTATGGTGAAAGCCCGACTAATTCGTATATTTTTTTTCTTTCAAACATTAGTTTTTCCTTAATTTTTGTGTTATAGAAAAGTAACTGAAAAGTAACGTCGTTACTTTTTGAAAGTAACTGTAACTGTAACGAGTTACTTTTTTGTTGCGGTAACTGTAACGGTAACTTCGTTACTTTTTTGTGAAAGTAACTGTAACTGTAACGAATTACTTTTTAAAAGTAACTTACCCATGACTGCTCTTGTGTGACACCAATTTGGCTCAGCTGACTCACCGTGGGTCGCCGAGGAGGGCTGTCAATGTGGGCCCTCTTCATGCAGCAGGTGTAAATCTTGTTTGTGGGACACGCGTCGTACCTTGATTGAACCCTGATTGGCTATCTTAAAGGCCAAATCTAAGCGTCCTGCAATGGAATCTTAAAACACTACAATATTATTAATTACACTTCTGCGAAGCAGTATTCAAAGAACAAGTTAGAAAGCGAACCACGCGTAATGTAATTTTTTTCTTTACAATTTGGAGAATTCAATTTCTCGGAGTTTCGTTGTGTTGAGGGATAAAGCTATGGTAAACGGTTTACAGACCAGGTATTTACAGATAATATTTGTTTCCTAACCGTAATGGCAGAGGGTTATGGTGGTTGTGTAGTTTATTAAGGAAAAAGATACCCGAAGTGTGATTCTGGTGGATTCTTTTCAGAGAAAACACTGAATGAGATTTAAGGAGTTTTGAGTACTCCGTTCGCGACGCAAAATTATACACACATGGTAGCGTAGGCTCGATAAGATATGTCGGTTTGGAAGGGAATCGGTTGCAGGCTTCTGTTTTAAGCTACTTGGCAAAATCAAATAATTTTATCGTATGTCAGCAAAAGCTTTGAAAAAAAAATAAATGTAATATATATATATATATATATCCTGTCGAAGCCAAGCCTCTCGGCGAAACTGTCGTAACACATAGAATGCTCTCCTAGCATAGCAACTCCGCAAGTGAGCATCTCTGACTTATTACATTTTCCCGGTCCATCGTTCTCAAACTACTCTGCCCCACACTCATACATATATATATATACTTAAGCACTAAGACGAAGGCCGAGCTTTTCTAATGAATAATATTCTGGATGGAGTTCGAGCAAAACTGACCCCGGATTGAGCTTCTTTATAAAGCCAGAAGGCTCAAAAATAATTATTCGAGGAAAGGCTTGTAATCATTGAAGTCATTGACTTCTTTCTTTATTTATATTTGAGCGAAATTTTATCTTGTTCAGCATCTTATTGTATTATCACCCAGCTTTCAAATTTCTCTAGATTTGCCGAAATAATTCTGTAAGATGAAATGCTCTTATTTTTATTGCGGCGTACATATCACGTTGTCGATACGCAAGAGCCAAACAAATAAGCTCGAGTTCAAAAATATCAGCCTACACAACACATATCACAATAACGGGTCTCAAAGCTGATTTATCCAGAAGCAACCTGCATAAAATCCTGTATAGATGCAGTAAGGGTAGTCTTTTCTTAAAGGTACGCTGGAGCTGTCGGATTTTTATACCGCTAAAATTGAAAACATCACTTTGCGTTTGAGAAATTTTATAGCCAATTTATTCATATTAAGATTAGTCGTAGTGTATTAAAGATGAATCACATCTGTTTCGAATTCAGCTACACCTGCAACTTTTACCAGAGGAATGGAACGGCTGAGATTTACCTTCCAAAATTATTATGTTTGCTAGTAGAAGACAGGCGTTCACATAAATATTTGGCGTTGTACGAATATGTTATATAGGTTGCCACAATCTCCCAACCTATGATTATATTTATTCTTCTTATTTCAGAGGAGCCTGATCTCCACTCAAGAAGGGATGACGAATTCCTGCTTCGCTTTCTTCGCGTTCGCAAGTATAACGTCGATACAGCACAGAAGAAAGTCAAGGAGTATTATAAGACCCGAAAAAACTTCCCCTGTGTCTTCGAGAACTTTGTACCATCAAATGTCAAACTCGATGTCAGAAATATGATGATGGTGTTCCCCCAACCAGATATTCACGGCCGGCCGGTGGTACTGTTAAAAGCAGGTGAGTTCTCGTGTCCCGGTAACTTTAAAACTTGTGTCCCCGCCGCTTCAAGTATCCTTCATACAAGTGTTCTTATTCGAGGCGGTACTTGTACATACACCCGAGGTTTTTGTCAAAATCTACTGGGTCTGTCAGAGAATACGAAACGCCGTTTTTCCGACGAATAAATAAAGTACTCATAGCAGAAGGCTGAGCGTTAGTGAGAATGTGACGCTACGGGTGGTGTTAGAATGCGAAAGTTTGAGATAACCACGCTACCTGAATCAAAATACAAAACAAACAAACAATATTGCTCTATGAGCCGACGTCCAGCCAAGCTGGACTTTTGTAAAACTAAGATATGGCATCGTGGAAGGTTGTGGAATTTATTTCAGTGGAAAAGAGAGAACTTGTCAGCAAGGAACAATACAATGTTGTCATGCTTACTCGCACGTCTTTTAGAGCGCAGCTCTTAGGCGCCCGTTTCTGGGTTGAGCGGTGTTGGCGTCGCAGTCGGTGTCGGCGTAACCCCGCGCGTTGAATTATTTCCCCGCTAAATTTAGCGGGGAAAATGGCGTTACGACTTCGTGTCAGGTCACCCATTAAGTGAGCAAATTCAGCTGGAGGAGGAGAGACAAGGCGAAGAGGAGGAGGGAGAAGAGGAGGACGAGGAAGGGAGGAGTAGGAGAGCAGGGTATGGAGGAAGAGGATGTGCCTCCCTTCCCCTCCGCACCCTCGCCTCGTCCTCCTCAAGAGCTGCGCTCTATGTTTTGGATTACAGATATTTGTAAACGTCTTTCATTCATTCAAACCTTAACTAATTTACAATAACTAAAGAAGGCCTACCGATGCGTCATAGCCACTAATAAAACTAAATAAAAATATTTAAGGGGGGACACTACCCAGAAAAAAAAAATTCTGCAAAAAACTTCGAGTTTGAAAAATTACATATTTACATCCATCTACATTCAGAAAGTATTCCCAGAAATTTTCACTAGCTTACACTGCATAGTTAATTTTTTATAAATTATTTTCTGTCCAACGAAGCTAAAGAAAAAATAGGGTTTGGAGCACTTTGAACAAATTTTTCTTCGTTCCACTTTTTGGTATAAATTCTATTTTAGTCAACCTATCGTTTGATAATGGCAATACAGGGAAGGCTCGTTCTTCACTTTTCCTGACATAAATTTAATAAGGAATGCGGCTATGGAATGTTTTTGTCACTTTACAGACGCCTGTAAAAACAGAACACCAAAAAGTTGACCAATTTCGCAGAAGAGAAAATTGATAGAAATAAATGACTTTTTACAAAAAGCATTCCATAGCCGCACCTCCTAGACATTCTGCTACATATCTAGCGAATAAATATCTTGAATATCGTCATAGTTTTCCGACGATAGATTAACTAAACAATGTAGGCGTGTTGCTGATGAAAGCTGCCCCAATTTCCTTCCCCACTTAACCGATAGACATGAAATTTTGTTATGCACCCTCTAGGATGACCGCAAGCCTATCCTGTAAATTTCATCAATGTTAAGCCAAGGATTCAAAAGTTGACCCTCCTAGGGTGTGTGCCCCCTTAAGAAGTATGCGTTAGAGAAAGACCTGATGAGATAGTGAACGTCCTGTTAAATGTTAACTGTAAAGTCTTACTTTCCATTGAATACGGCACATGTGTTCGAACTTAAAAACGCTAATTTCAAAGTAATCAATCCTGTGCGAATCCACTAGGCAGTCATAGCGATAGCTGCGACAAAGTATCGGACCCTAATATATTCTTATGTCGGGGTCGGCACCTTACCTGGATGGGTCCTTTCTAACGTCTGCTTGGAAAGTGATACGTTTATCTATTTCTTCAGCACAGAAGCACTCTAATGGATGCACCAGGAGATACAGATTGCGTGATGCGACTTAATTGTAACTGCGGCCATCTAGCGGGCACTTAGCGAGATTAATATGTACAGCTCCCGCCAACACATGTGGTTGCTTACACGGCACGTCGAAGCAGCTGGCGTGGCTTCGAGGTTTCGCGCTCTCTTTACACAATAAGCCGAACCGGGGGCAGATCTTGTGAAAACCGCGGCGGTTTTGGAGATTAAATTTTTTAAACATTTCGCGATATCAACGACGTACTTCCTACGCCATCTCTTCGGGTAAGGGGAAGAGCCCATAGTAGCTATTGCTGTCAAAAAAAGTGTCAATTAAATTTCTGCGCGCACTCAAAGAAAAAAACAGATTCAAATATGACAATGGATAAGAAGTGGGCGAGAGTTTCGTGTAAAATCAAACTAAAGCCTAATAATTTTACTTATTTTGATTCATTACAAACCCCAATTCAGCACAAGCCTGTGGTGTAAATGGGACATCTTTCGTCATAATTCCGATATAGCGAATTAGCGTTGTGACGCTAACTACTGCCCGAGATATTAGCGCTCTTTTACTCCATTCACCCTTAAGTTGAGACTACAAGCTCCGCCTTCAGCGCGAGCTTCTGCCCTTGCTAACACAAGTGTAAACGTGCAGGCACGCGCAACCAAAGCACTGCGGAAGCCAGCGAGCTCGTGCTGAAGGCGGAACTTTTAGCCTCAGCTTGAGGGTGAACGTCTAGTATAGAAGGAAGATTACAGCGAATATTGCGTGATGTCTAAGAAAGTGCTCGCTTCATTTTCAGGTGCCTGGAATCCCCAGACTACTTCCTACGGCGAAGCACTACAAGGCCTAACCCTTATCATGGAACATCTGATAGCTGACCCGGTGGTACAAACAAAAGGTGTCACCTGCATCCACGACTTTGGCGGATTTACCGCGGACAAAGTTCTCTCCATCAACTTCGGCCTGCTGAAGATGTCCCTTCGGCTTTTCCTGGTTCGCATACTTCACGCTTTAGTTCATTAGAATGAAGTAGCACTCTCGCACGCCCCATCATAGATCTTTAATAAAAAAAAGAACACTGTTTCACCTTGTACGCCGTACAACTTAAACGACATTAACGCGGAGGGTTCCTCTAAATCTAAAACGATAAGTTTAAACTGTGCCGTGCAATATCTACTAACAAGATGCGAACGTCAGGGAGCAGCTTTGGTTGTCCCGCCTCCCAGCGTGGGTCTTCTATCCCAACGCTTCCGCGTAGTGTGCACATCGAGCTCGCGCCCGCCTCCAAAGCAAGGCGCGGATTGCATGGTGCACGTGAAGGAGGCCGGGCATTTGAAAGACTTACACTGCCATTTTAATTTTGTGTGAAACTAGACGGCAACTTTAAAAACCGTCTTCCTGATGTTTCAGTGAGATTTCGGTATCAAATTGGTTTAAGCAGAGCAGCCTACCAGCGTCGCGAGTGTTTAGATTGGAAACGGTTTGGTCACTCTTCGTAAGCCTTTGGCTGAAGAGTTATGTTATTAAAATCACCATGACAAGAGGGGGATAGCAATTATGTAAAAACAAAATAACTTTCTCGACGAATCAAGTCGTGCTTTCGGTGCGGTAAGCAACCTTTACATATGTATTAATTTCATGCACGTTCTGCTCCTGTGATACGACAGTCTTTCTTCCTTACCGATAAGGGCCGAAGAAAGATCCTATATCGCAGCAACGCTAGAAGTACAAATGATGGTGCCCAGAGCCGCACTCCTAATAACACCACAGTCGTTATTGCCTATCGTGCTCATGAAATCGCTGCCATCCTCATTATGCTAACGCTGCGAGTGAATAAAATCCACTTCGCGCTGTAACTAAAAAAGAAAAAAAGACGGGTTTCAGCAGACTTTTTTTAAAAGTCCGCACCAACGCTCGTCCTTCATTGCTTGCTCACATACTCTGTGCTTGTATTGAAACCAACAGCTGCGTTAGCGTTTGGCGAAGACTGGGATCCAGTAACGCGCATCGTGTTCATATAGGGATGGATAGATGAATGTTAATGGCTAAACCCGCTGTAACGGCCGGTAGCTTGAGCCACCTAACCTAAGTCTAAAAAGACTTAGGCTATACTTCGTCTCACCCTACGATGGACTAAAGGCAGAAGCTACGAACTGCCAGATCCAATCACGAGCCACTTCGACATTGCGTGGTATTTCGCTTCGATGCACGTATCGGTGCCCGCGGCTCGGATCACTGATGGGAACGGGCGGACAGTGGTTCGGATCGAGCAATGAGTGACTCAACGATTTTACATTGCAAAGGAAGCCACGACGTACTGGCTCTTTGCAGCGTCGAGGCTATAAAAATAACGCAGCGTTTTTGGATACGGTGCATTATTCGTCCAAATCTAACCAATGCTACGCGTGTCATAGTTTAGCGTGGAACGTGATTGGACCTGGCGGCCGGTGGCTTTGGCCTTTAGTCCATCGCAGGATGAGATGAAGTATAGGTGGTCCAAGCAATGGCGACACCAAATATTGCTCGATGGACTTTCCACAAAGGGTATATTAAATTTATTAAACCAGTAGGCTGCTGCTATAGTTGAACAAATTGTAAACGTTGTCTGCAGAAATAAATTAAAGTTTGATCTGAATTGGCATGAAATGTTTCCGCATATGGTTGCGAGAATGTACGATTCGTAGCGCCGTTCGTGACGTCCGTAAAGCGCAAATACACTTCAGTCCAAATATCGTTAGAACGGTTGGCATGTGTCACTGCCTAAATGACATATGATGTTGATTTTATTTCGAGCTTATAACACCTAGGTTGATTGTCGGAAAAATATATTTTAGATGCAAGATAGAAACCTGGGCGTGCAACTCGAAATGTAAAGATAAAGTCACAATCTGGGTCCCCAAATGTTTAACAGCATAATTCAAAATATTTTGTAATGCCCTTGAAATTAAGTGCAAAGTAGGTTTTAATATTCCCAAATATATTTCATAGAGGTTTCTGATTAGCTACAGTGACGGGCGAGCAGTCTCTGAAGTAGTCCGAAAGGGCCATATACTTCCCACCAGTGGAGTCACACAAAGTAAAAACACAATTTAAGGGGCGTTTCATTTTAAGAACGTAAATATTAAGAACAAAAAGGACGCCGGAATGGGTGAAATCCTTCCTGCAGAACAACGTTATCGACCGCGGCGGGCGTCAGGGTAAAAGTATACAAAATCAATTCATTGCGAGATTAACTACAATTTGATAGCTTTCTATCTGCTTTCTATAGCTGGCATGTCTGAATCGAAGATTTGTAGCCTGCCGTTAATATGGGCCACATATGTTGTTAAATTTTAAAAGAAAAATATTCTCTTCGAGCGCTATTTAACGCAAATTATTAAAATTCGCCAAGTGACTACTTAGACATTTTACCCCCTAAATCTGACAACTTATCTGACATAAAGGAACGACGAGCTACAAATTTCAACTTAACGTATGCCAGCTGAAAATAATTTTCAAAAGTAGCCAGTGTACTTCAATTCTTGAAGCTATTAATTGTTTCTGTACACTTGCGCCCGCACGTCAGCCGTGGTCTAATGCTTTTCTGCTGACTGAACTAATAACTTTATTTCCCAGGCCTTTTTTTTTTTGTTATTACCTTCCGACTCAGCAAAATATGCTGCCTATATAACGGCTCATTTCCATAGTTTTAAGTGCTGTCTAGAAAGAAAATTGCCAAAATACGCAGACGAACGATCCGTGTAGTTTCGTAACAAAACCAAGTGTTGTTTCCGCTTGCTCTGTCTCCACTAACATTCTTCAAATACCGCAGGACTGTGTACCGGCACGAATAAAAGCGACTCACATCGTGAATGAGTCGTACACTTTCGACATGGCTTACGCTATGGTTCGACCTTTCATCAGCAAGAAGATGGCAGATAGGGTGAGTCGCATGAACAGTCTGATAAACTTCAGCGTGAGTCAAGGAGATTGCTGGCTGCTTGAAGGGACCGCAAAATTAGTTCCTTAAAGTACTGCGCTCGATTTTACTCAACGAGTGTCTGAAAGTGGTGGACATTGTGTTTGCAAATTTTTTTTTAAAAATAAACTTGCCACAGCTAAATATTAAAAATTAACAACCTAAAATATCTACCTACAGCGTCGGTCTGCTATAGAAAGACGTATGATTGGTGCTACAGACAAAAGATGGCGGCTAAACACGAATAAACAAAACATCTGCTTCGTTTTTCCTTGCCTTGTTCAATTTTGCTTTGTTTTATTGTTAAAAATTAAAAAAAAAAAAACATTGTTCACTTGCAATTAGGACAGAAAAATAGCTTATCGCTTCTGGCTCCGAAACGTCGTCTGCTATTGCCAAGGTCAAGGGAAGTACTAGCTATGACCGCCTGCAATCTTACGTGCCTCAATCTGTCGGATAGTTGCGTCAATCAGATACCTTCCGACAGCAGGCGCACGTCGTAGGTAGAGGTTTCAGTTTATTTGATTTGTAGCTTCTATGCAGGTGACTTTGTTTAATTTTGATACACGAGGTAGACCACCTTCAGGCTGCGTCTTAGTAAATACTAGCTCGATACGTTACGAAACCAATTTACTCGGTCCCTTCGCATAGCTACGGAAGTGAATCTTAAGAATTTCATGAATGGATAATTACAAACTTTAGGGACATGTGTTAATAAATAAAAAAAATTGAAAGCTTTAGTTCTCAATAATGTTTTATTCCTTTCAACCACCAATTCGTTCGTGACTTTTGTAAGTGGTGAAATCACCTCACTCTTCTAATGTTTACAATACCACAGTCCAGTGTACGTTTTCCACAAATTCAGAATGCACGTGATAGCCGCTTCACAAGGCAAGCAAAGCGCGCGCTTTACGCACGAACACCGAAAATGGCACCGGCCACTAGCCCGTTATTTTACCGAACAGGTTGCGCGGTATCACCAAATTTTGACCCTCTTATCCCTGACTTCAGGCAGGGGGCCCCACTCAGATGTGAAGGAAGGCTGCCTGTGCGAAAATTCTTTTAAATTTAACTAAGTATGTTCAGGTGTTCGTGATTTTTTCTAATTTGTTTTGCTCCGAATAGATCTAATTACAAGCGATAAAAAAAGGAAAAACTATAATTGATGACATATTATGAGCGGAGTTGTTCATGTAATCGAAAATAAGGAACGAAATACTGTTAAACTTTAGTTTGTCAGGATCTAACACGTTGTTAAGACCCATTTCATTAAGCAAATGTAACAAGATACCGTTACAGTAGCTACGTAATTCACGCAAACGCTGCTTTTGCGTGAGTTTTGTGTTATATTAGATTTCAGCATTATTTCTTGGCATTGGTAAGGATCGGGTAGAAAATCTGACACGAACTAAACGGCCACAAAGTAATTTCACAATACAGTATTTTATACTTCGTTTATAAAACTTGCAGAGTACAGGGTGGTCCCCATGACGCGTTTTCCCTTTAAAGGGATCAAAAACGTGACTAATTTAGAACACAAGTTACGAGCAACGAGCACTGAAATTTTATAGGTGATACTGTGAAATAGTGGAGAGTTTTAGGGAACCTTCTTTGCACGTACGATACGGTAGGATGGGCCCTCGGTACGCACTGCGCGTATGCTACCACAGAAGACTTGCACATGCGCAGTTCGTACCCGAGGGCCCACCGTATACCGTATCGGATGTGCAAAAACAATTCCCTAAAACTCTCGGATAGGGATTTTTAGCAAACCGTTACCGCGTTCCGCGGACCGCACTACTGAAGCCTTTGAAGCATGCTTTTAAGTGCGCGCCCCATGGTTACCGTGACCGCGGGGCGCGCACTTAAAAGTGTGCTTCAGAGGCTCCGACTGTGCGGTACGCGGAACACACTAACGGTTTGGTAAGTTCCTAGTAACCATGTTATTTTATTCGTTAGTCTCTTTAGATTCTCACCAATATGTTAGTATAGAGTCAAACCCGTTTATAACGAACAGCAGGATACTTTACGATCAGTTCGATATAGCAAAAACCATACAACGAACTTCCACGATGCGTTCGTTGTAAGGCGAGAGCTTCTCTTCATCTCTCATCTCTTCGGATCCGAATAGTAACAAAGCGCTAAAAATCTTTTTTTTTTTTTTTTGCGTTAGTGCAGAGAGTGTTTTTTTAGCTTATCTCCAATTTAAATCAGTTCTCTTCCTAGACACCCGCTTTGGGATTAAGTTTTTTTCCGTGCGTGCGTGCAGTGTATTTGTTTTTGTTTTAGCTTTCTCTCTTTCTGAATTGCTTGTCTTTGTCAATTTTGTTCATGGCTTGAGCTTTTGGAATTTTCTTACTTTCCTAGATTTTTTTTTTTTTTTGGGGGGGGGGGGGGAGGGGGAAGGGAAAGGCTAGGAGACGATTGTTTCCACGTTTTTAAAAGATATTCGTGGGGAAAAAGTTCGATATAAGCAATATGTTGTTCGTTATAAAGAGTACTTTTGATATGCATTTTTCTTTACTTTTTCGTGAGTTCGATATGAACAATAATTCGCTGTACGTGGGTTCGCTCTAAACTGGTTTCACTGTACTACTGAAAAAACTAACGCGTTACCAATAGCGTCGAAATACGTAACGCCTAACTTCCAACATTGGTTACGCGATGGGCGCTCGTTGACTTCGGTTGTTCTTTGGCTGCCCGGGAGTCGAAGTGCTGGGAAATGTGAAAACTCAGGCTGGTGGCGGAGTTTGTATTGCATTTTGACCTATCATAGACTACTCGGCGTGCAAGTGCTCCAAAATGCGTCTTCGGCACACCGGGACGCAAAGAGCAGCACGCCAAACAAAGGGCAACATAGATAACGCTGTGATGATAATGCGATTAATGCAAACGTGAAAGCGAGCTGGACAAAACCAACGTTAATAATCACTGAAGATGCGGAACAAGGGGGACAAAAGACAAACACATAAGCTCCAAACACAGCTAGGTTGACGGTGCGCGACTGAAATCATCGCCCTGATCCTGGTATCCTGGTATTTGTGTCTGTACTTTGTCCCCCTTCTCCCCTTTTCCCGGGATTAGTGACGTTATAGGTAACGTGACGGGCACGCGCGATGACGAGGCAGCCAAGCGCGCGACGTAATTGCTTCAGGTACTAGCTGTACTTGCTTGCCGTATAGTATCGCGCACGGAATCATAGTGTAGAACATATTTTTCAAAAACAAATGGCTATACCTGCTCTAGATGGTGCCATATTTCGCTCGTGATTGGTTGTCGAAAACATCCAAAATTTCAATTGTTTCACCGCACATTTATGTTCTTGAAATGAATGCACATGGACGCCTGAGCGTGTGTGTGTGTTTTAAAATGAACGTTGCCTTGTTCAACAGTAACTAAACACTATACGTTTCTTGTACCTGACGTCACTTCCGGTTAGACTTGAAATTGATACCAACACTGTTGTCTGCTAGCAGTGCCTTGGCACCATGTTGAACGCATTTAGTGTCATATTAAAACGGCAGTAGTCCCATAAAGTCATAAAGCCGTCGTTGAATAACCACATTTCGGAATATCGGTTTTTCCTAGCCAATCGCAAACAGGTTCCTTACCTGACACGAAGTGCAGACCACAAACCTTTAGTTTGTGTGCGAAGCTCCTCTGTCGAGATCATAGAGTTGATACAAAAACCTAGATTGAAAGGCCTCATGCATTTGGTCGGCGGTCCCAGTGGCGGTCTCGATGAGCCCGTATCGCTGCCGACGGCTTAATATGCACAAAGAAGCAGAAAAATATCAGTTGTAAGGTCTGTACCTTGTTAATTTCGCTTACTTCGCAAAAAAAAAAAAAAGGAATGGAGGGTTTACAACGTTAAATAAAGTTGACAAGCGCTCGAGCAACTTTAACTTATTGCGGCAAAACGAACAGACCTAAACCTTCATCTGCTTTCTTTTTTTTTTTTTTTCTTAGGACCGGAGATGTTAGCTCCCGTCTTTACCCGCCTATACGAGATTGTGCCGGCTTAGCCGTCGGAGCCCTTCATAACGCTTGCGAAACGATTGCTCGAGCGTCGCCGTGTCCTGATTCCTGATGATTGCCGGAATTCTAGAAACAAAAAAACAATACTGCTGGCCGTGGCTTCATTGTCGTCGACTTTTAGTGCTGGAACAATTATTTATATCGCAATGGGCCATGGTAAACCTCGAGTGAGAGGACAAGCTACAGTGCAAACACGGCTCCAAAGCACGCAAAACGTAGCATAACAGCGACGGTTGCCTCCAACATGGATTTCGGTGGGTTCCGGTAGAACCGGTAGTTGCGTAGCATCGTTGTCTCACCCAAGAACCATAGTTCTTTTAAGGGAAGCTGCAAATAAAAGAAAACAAAAAAAAAAACAGCAATATTTCACAAAAAAAAATGTTTGTTTTTTTTGTTTATCATTGTCGAATGTTCATATTTTATGAATGAAAAGAATAAATGCCGGTTGCGATTGCGAAATTAGTAAAATTTGTGTTTTACTCCTCTTGGCAACACAAGGTGCCATACATTTGACAAATTTTTGTGCATTTTTCTTCGAATTGCGACGTCAGCAGCCATCACATAAGTAGATTTAACTGTCTCAAATCTATCACTGTCTTCTGTAACTTAGGTTTAGCACTGAAAATCATTATCAAAATATTACTTTCCCGCCGCGAAAGAGTATCGGTACACATCTGGGTCAACATACGAATGTTTTTTTTTTTTTCGTTTGTATATATATATATATATAATTTTGAAACATTTTTGCAGTCTGAGCAGAAGAATGTTTGTTCATAATATTGTCACATCTCAACCGAATTCGGCATGTATATGTCTTGGAATATTTAGAATCGGACTATTTAGGTTTGGTTGCGATGTTGCTACGTTTTTGTTCTATGAAAAACTTTAAAAAAAATATTTTGTTAGCCGCTTAAAAAAGGTCCTTTGCGATTTTCACTTCTTTAAAAATTAAAGAAGTATTGTAATCATTATGCTTGTTGCTCATTGAACTCAGTAGTTTAATTGCAGGTAAATATTCGATCTTACTAGTTTCTTTCAAGTCTGTTGCCCTTGCCCCATGTGCACGCAAGAACATGATTTTTATCTGGAGTTCATTCAGAATTTAAAACGTATGCTATATCAAATTTAAGACCAGATTATAAAAAGGAAAAAAAGTAATATAAGCAGTGAAATATTAATTTAGTTACGGTAGAAATAACAAAAATGTTTTCCCCTGGCATGTACGAACCTTGGTACGCCAATAAAAGTCCTATTCGGGTTTTCTATTTCTTAACTAAAGGCAGGGCGAAAATGGACTGGTGCCGAAGGAGCTCACTTACTAAGCAAAAAACAGCAATTTTTCGCTTTAACATTTTCGCATTTAGACAACACCATCATGCTAAATATATTAATTCCTTCATTTGAGTGATACCTACAGCGCCTCGGTGATATCGCAAAGGGGAGGAAAGGAGGAGGGGAGGGGGGGGGGAAGGGGCAGGAAAATCAGTTGATTTCAACTCACGTGGCAAAGTTCACAAAATTGGAACAGAAATACATCGTTGTCCTTAATGGTGGCTGACTCTTCTAATAGCATATTCCAATCTTTTGCTGTCGTCATAAAAAAATTATTATCAAAACTGTTTGCTTTGGAAGAATACTCAAGGACTTTATAGAGTTATCAAAACGGGCTGAAATGTAAGTTGGTCCAAAATATACTGGCTCTTATCTATACTGGTCTTACTATAATAAACATAAAAAAAATATTTTTAATCCTATTTTTTTTTGTGTGTGCGTGGTCAAGGCATTTCAACCCAGCATGACTTTTAACTTAGAAATTCTAACGTAGTGGTCACAGTAATTACTGACAAGTCGCGCAGCCTAATACTGAACGTTGGCTTGCCTCTCAATAAAATTATACTGCTAAGGGTCCCATACTACACACGCATATTCTGGTATCAACCTTACATTAGTATGCATTTTTATACATTACAGGGCGTCCCCGAAAAACATTTACAGGGTTTTTCTCACCGCAAAAATAAAAGACGCGTCGCCGAACGCTCATTTTCCGCCCAGAGGCAGCGCAAGGGTCCTAAATAGATACCACATAGTTTCAGCCCGAACCGATATCTTGTTAAATAGTTATAAGTCATTTTCTGAAAATTTCAATGGGAAAATTGGGCTCATTTTTGCTCGTTTTTGGTTTCTGGTGCTATATAAGTCTATGTATTTGAGAGCTCCGTTGACCGAAATTTTCCCATTTAATTTTTTAGAAAATTTCTTACAACTGTTGAACAAGAAAACGGTTCCTGCTGCAACTATGGTATCTAGTGCGGACCTCTAGTGCTGCCTTTGGGCGGAGAACGAGCGTTCGGCGACGCGTCATTTACTTTTGCGGTGAAAAAAAGCTTGTAAATATTTTTGGGACGCCCTGTACATGTTAAAAAATTGCATGTTACACGTAAAAATATATTCAGAAAACAAGTATTTTTTAGTTTTCTTTAAATAAAATATAGCGGTGCATTATGTAGTGTGTACCGCCACACGCGTATGCATATTCGCCTTTCCTCCCTGCAGCTTCATGTCCACGGAGCGAACACCGAAGGCCTCCACAAAGAAGTGCCCGTGGACAGACTCCCCAAGGAATACGGAGGAGTCGGCCCTGACCTTGACTTCGAAGCCTTTTGGAACCGTCTAGAACAAGGGGAAGAGTTCTTCGTCGAAAATAACCGCTATGGATATACCGGGAAGGAAAGCTGTGACGACGAAATCGAGGTGACGGCCTTCTAGGGAAATGACAAGCACAAAATGACGTGTAAATACCAGACCAACGACGGAGAAGAGACTAGCAGATTTGAAACAATAAAGGTAAAATAAGGATGACGTCATTATTTTCTAAAATCACATGCATGCTTGTAACGACGGAGGTTCAAGAGGACAGATATTTTCCAACGTAAATTACCGAGTAAAATAAAGAAAAGCGATAGCTTCAACTAAAACTGAGATTTCGTGTTTCATTTAAATTCATGACAGTACAATTCAAAAGCTCACAATTAATGTTAAAAGCATTTCGACAGCAAAAACATTCAAAATCATAATTTTTTTTTGTCAAGTTGGTGGCTGCATTAGAATTGACTCAAAAACAGGAAAGAAAAGAAAAATACTAAAAAAGAAAGCATTTCGGAAAGTATTTTTACAGCTGCATTTTTTTTTTTTACCTTTATTCTTTTGGCCATTGAAATCAGCGTATATATGTTTTCGAAGAGCGCTCGTTCTGACATTTCTTCGTAAACGAAATAATAACTTTACTACACTATTTAATCCAATATTTAGCGTTAATATAAAAGTATCAAACTTTTTTTTTTATTTCTGTGCAATGAGAAATACACGAGGGGCAAAATGTTCTGACAATTCTGCGCGTCAGTTCTTTATTGATATTTATCTGTTTTTCATGGCACGAAAAGTGGCACTCCATATTTATTTATTTGAGACAGCTCTAAAATCGTGTTAGCAAGCTATTAACCTAAGTAAAGAGTGAGCATCTAATACGTTATGTTCTATCTTACGCAAAGCGTGAGAGCGAGATCGTTTCTGGGCAATTTGCGAAGTATATTACTGGGAAATAAATTTTACTCAGCGAAAATCCAAGGGTCTTGGCGCTGACAGCTGTTGCTTTGTTTGGGAAAGCTTAATAATGACCAACTGCACATCAACGTCGACACCCCCCCAAAATAAAGTGACATGACAATCAAACATGTACAGTGCACGTCTTACTATAGTCCCTGACAATTTAAGAAACGCAGGGTGTTTCTTATAATGTTTAAAATTCTTCCGTCGCGAAGGGTTCTTCTTCGTTCATACCGTCGATCGCCTAAATCTCATTTGCAGCGGAGCATTAATTAGATGCCTAGGACTCTCCATGCTTCGCGTTTTTTAAGCTCTCAGTGACTAAATATGTGACATATTACCGCTACCCGTTGCCTCTATCAAATAGCAAGCATGGGTTAGTTCGTTACCCAATATCAAGTCACAAAAAGTTGCGGGGTAAATTTCTCCTACATGTAACCGAGCATTTGATTACGTCGCCCAGAACCACTTACTCTCCTCAGTTCTAGAAAGAGGCTGCGGACACAGACTATACATATACATCCTCAACTTCCTCAAAAATTGCACAGTCAGCTTTAGTGTAGCTGATGAGGCGTCCCCATCAATCACGCTCAGACGCTACACCCCACAAGGAGCTTTCACCTTCGCCATTTAATCTCGGCATGGTCCAGCTGGCCCGTCGCCTCCAACAAATCCTTCATATGTCACACACCTTCCATGCGGATGATCTCACTCTCTGGTGCACCCACGCAACACCTGAGAAAGTGGAGTCAACTGTGTAACAGGGAATGGACATAATAAGTGAATACCTCGCACGAGTAGGCCTTCAACCTGTCCCAGAGACATCAGAAGTGCTTCTTCTTGCCACATAAATAATATCAGCAATCTGTAAATTATCACGTATCTCTAGACATCGTCTAAAACCCTATCCCGAGAGCCTCCTCGTGTAAAATTCTAGACATACATTTACAGGAGAGGACACACAATGCTAATGTAAATTCAGCCATAAACACATGCGGCTCGGTTAGTTACCTGGTACGCAGGGTGGTCAATTAAGAAGCATGCAGGTCTTTATGAAAAACAAGCGAGCCAACTAGTTCATGCACTTGCTCTAAATACGGTTAACTATTCTACAGCATATTTTACACTTGAACAACAACTCTCCAAACTCTCATCAGCTTTGAACAGACAATACACGGCTTCCGTAAAACTTTCTATCTCCACCTCCAACCAGAAACTCTACGACACGGGACTATTTCTCTCCTCAAAACACTTCTGCACCTACATCGGAATCGACAAGTAGCCCCGCATCTCAGGAAAACCTCAGGGAAGATGGATCCTGGAGCAAGCAGGACTTTTCTCCCCATTGACACCCGCTTACATATACCTACCCAACCTTACCCTCAAACATGCGCTTTCCCCTGTACCTCGCCACATGTCCCGGGGCATAGACGACGCACGCAGGAGGGCGCAAGTTAGCCGTCACAACCCCACCTTCAACACACAAATCATAGCTTATTCTGATGCGTCCGTCTCGGAGACAGGAGCCACGGGAATTGCGGCATACGGAATCTACACACCACAATGACAAACCCCTCCAGGTTCACACCAGCGGTCTATATAGTAGCCCCCCGATGTCACCACACACATAATTAGTTTTCATCATACATGCTATACAAGATTTCATCCAACTGCCTCGCACATCAGATTATAAAACCTACATACGGACTCCCAGGCTGCCATTCGCGCCTTGCAGCAGCGGAAAATCTCCCCAGATCGCCGAGCAGACCACGAGGCGGCTCTACACACACTTCACCCATCGTCGGTCACCATTCGGTGGGTCCCAGGTCATGCGGGGATTGCAGATATTGAACAGATTCATCAAGTCGGCCGCGAAATGCACATCCGGGCACCTGTGATCCCCTGGCATAGCCCCCCGACTCGCGATGAGGCTTTAATCCACAAACGCTCAATCAATCGCATTTTAACGCTGATTAAGTGTGTTTCAGTACGACCGACTGCGTTCCACTGCGACGCCGTACCCGGTTCTCATTTTCCATCGCAACTGTTTAGTCGTAAGCCGTCATGATGGTATAGGAAGGCAGTTGGTTGGACACCAGCGCAAATGCCTGAACCATCCTGTCGGGCTACGGTCTTGTGGCTTAAAGTTTACGCTGTGCATCATGTTTGGTCTTTTCAGACGTGACCGATATACTCGGCCCTTCTTCTTGGGAACCATAGGATATTCCGTCCCTTAAAATGCTTCATAATCTCTTCTTTTTTAACACAAAGGGATAAAAGAAAGAGAATTACATGATATCTTTTTTGCTTGACCCTTCGTTTTCAACGAGGCCACGTCAATCACAAGTGAATTTTCATTGCATCTCAGTTAAACGCTCGACGATTCCACACAGCGTTTTTTTTTTCTTTTTTTTTTTTTGCCGCAGAGAATTAATCGCGGCGACTGTTGCTTTTCGTGTCATACGAGCAGCTTTTGTACAGCTGTAGCTCTTAGCGGCGCTTTTGGGCAAACTCCGGCGGGATCCGTATACGCAGTAACTACATCATCGCGGGTAGAGAGTAATAGCATGGCCAGGTTTTCGTACTTCCCCTTGCCGTCGCCAACACCGCATAGAAGAGAAGGCCGTAGTGCTGACATTTCTGCGTCACGAGCGAAGGCAGGCGCTGGTCACATTGGAAACGAATGCTGCGTTAAATTATCATCTAAGGCCTGAATCGTTCTTGGAAGCAGATCCTCCGCCCGCTGCCGTCGGCGTTGGCTCGAAAAGGCCCGCTTCAACTCCACCATGCAGATGTCCCACGACGCAAGCGAAGCCTCCTGGTTCTCGAACCAGTGCATCGCAGTACTCTCCAGAGAAAAGTAGAGGTTTTGCAGGCACTGCTCAGCAGTCTATCCGTCGTGGCGTGCCAAGCGCTCGTAGTGTTGGAGGCAGTCCTCGACGTCCTCGTGGATTTATCCGTGGAAGGGCGTCGGCGTACGAGGAGAGACGGGCAGGTAGACGATGAAAGTTGCAGCCGATTTCTGCTGGACATCTGAATCGGTTTGGTCTTCAGCTTCTCGGATCGAAGGCCAAACTCACCGGCCTGTATTTGGGTGCGGCTGGTTCGGGTTTCGGGTTCGTCGACGGGGTTAGCTTTCCGACACCTAAATAAGATCGAGCCTGACTGATCTTCTGAGGTATACGTTTCATGGGCATAAAATGTGGTACCCTAGCTGAACTTCCATTAAAATGTCAGGAATGACAATTGATGAGACAAAGAATGACTGAAAGAAACTAAGCGCATAATGGGGCGAACTTGTGGCCAAAACAATGTAGAGGAAGGCTAGCATCGCAGGCGTCGATGGAGGCGTAACAGCAGTATTGAGCACTGCATGGGGCGAGACAAACGTATGTGGCGCGGCGCAGCTTTTTTTTATCCTGTTTTGGAAGCTTAGATTATTCTGCCTCGATCCTTCTCAAACTATGCATTCTGAACATACGCTAGTTGTTAATTTCTCCCATCATCTCGAATCTTCTAATTACATAAAGAAAGAAAAACCGGGAAGCGGTGGCTGGATTCGTACCCCGGCCATCCGCACGGGAGCCAAGCGCGCTGCCTACTTGGCTAGCTTCGCTGATTTTTTTTTTTTTTTTTTATTACTGTTGACTAGATTATCTTTATCAGAATTCCGAAGACACAATCTCAAAGCGAGAAGCGTGAGTACAATAAGCCACGTCCTGGGAGGAGGGGGGGGGGGGGGGGGAATGGGGGGGGCGCGTTTTTACATTAGGACGCTCGTTTTGACGAAAGCCCGGTTGTGTCGTTCGTTTGGAAGTAGCCGCGTGGCGACACTCTCAAGGGTCCGTAGCACTGACGTAGGCACGCGTCAACCTCTCCCTCTCTCCCCGGCGCTGACAGACTGAAAGACACCGCCGGGGTTTCGTCAAAACGAGCCCTTTCGTTTTCGACAAAATCATGGGCACAGATGGCGTGGAATCAAAGAGGCCAACGCTGGACAAAGATTGGAAACGAGTGCTGCGTCAGCACTCAGGTTCGAGTTAGCTTTCAGGCGAACGTTGACACAATCGTTGTGTTGAATCTGTGTCCAGCGTATAACCTTCGCTGATGACGGCATCTCTATCAGCGCAACAGCTTTGTTATATAGGCAGCCGGCAACGGCC